TGGTTATCCTGTTATCATATTCTATTATGATATTATTACATAATAGGATACTAACTAAAGAGTCAGCACTGTTATAGCAGATGAGAGAATCAGTTTCAATGTGATCAGTTTGATCAAAATTGGTTAGTGTATGTATAATAATAGTAAGTAAAGTTATTATATCATAATATAATTCTGAAATATTAATTAATTTTTTTAATAAGTGTAAAAAAAGTAATAGTAAACTTATTAAACAAATTAAAAAAGAAAGATATATAGGTATATACTTTAAAATAGGGGTAACTTCAGAATTATTATATAAAATATTGGAAGAAATTCTATCTTTAGACACAATTTTTCATCTTCATTGATGTAAATCAGCTATATAATTTAGGGTAATCATATAATCTATTATAAAAATATTAAAATTTGGTTACCTTATTACTAGTATATACTCAAGTATGATATATCTAGATGCGAAATAACTCTAAAAATATTTTCTTTTTAATAGATGTGAAAAAGGCATATAGCAAGTTAATAAAAAAAAAAAAATAAGAAATAACTATATTTTCGATAGGTGAAATTTAGGGTAGGTAAGTATAGAATTATTATATAAAATAATGAAAGAAGTCTACTCTATCACTAGTATACATATGAATATTTAAGGTAGCTAAATACATAATCTATTATAAGAAATTTACCATAATATCAGTTTCAATCTCTTATGTACTTAAAAATTAACTTAAATTTTCTGAAACATTATGTCTCAAAAATTTTAGTTACATTCTAATAATTAAATAACTTAAATATAATATTGTGAGAAAGTTACAAGAAAGTGATAACTGTTACGAAAAATACCAGAAACTTAAGACATGGTAAATTATCTATCATTATATATATTTTTGCTAAATATCATCTGATATTAAATACTTTGAGTTCACTATCATATAATTCTCCTAAAAATATATACCATAAAGTAGCGTTGTTATAGGACATTAATGGGATACTAATAGAATATAGATAGAATAGATAGAACATTTAGAATATAGTATAAGACAGGTTAAGATATATAGCTAGGACAACAAATTTCTGAAACATTAAAAATAGACATTACTGCCATAGAGTATCATTTGATTTTGAGCCTTCTGAAAACACTATCAAATAATTTTCCTAATGATATATACGTAAAGAATCATCTATCACTAAGCTCTCTAAGAATACTATTATATGATACTCCTGATAATATATATATCTACTTGTAATATTCATTTTAGGAAAAAAATGATATGTAATAAATTTTGATTAATTTTAACTAGTATTATTTTATAATTTCAATCAGAATTTTAGATAATATTTCAATATTTAAGCTAGCATAAAAGTGAATTAAAACTGGAATTAATAGAATTACTCAAGCTCCTTATCAGTTCTTCAACAATTCTATGACAATTTCATGATACTATCATAATATCATTATGTTATTAAGCTAGATTCTCGAACCACATACCTAAAAGATTAGTCAAAATTATGACATAATGTCAAACGTAAATTTACTGCATTACCTGAAACCTTTTTTATATTATTTTAGTACTTTGAAAGGTAACAAAATAGGCGTGTATCTTATTCATATTTACTAATCAACAAATCACAGAGAGGAAAAACAGACTTATCTTCAGGACATATTAATTAATAGATTATAATATCCTAGGACATATTAACCAATAAACTATAACATCCTAGGACATATTAGTTATTAAATTATAACATCCTAGGATATATTAGTTATTAAACTATAACATCTTAGGACATATTAGTCTGATTTATTTATACTATATATTTATTGAATTAAAATTAAATTTTAATAATATTACAACAACTTTTGATAATAATTTTTTTATAAATAATATCAATTTATGAATGATTATTTTAATAGTCAATTATTATATATCTCTATTAATTTATTATAATAGCTAAATATTTACTAGATTATATTAACTAAAAATGAAACTGAAACTTATATTTGAGTTAATTTTTTAATATAAGTAAAAAGTAATTTTTATTTATACAAAATTTTTTATACTAAAGTAATGAAAACTGTTCTGATCTAAAATATATTTTTAATAATATAGATAACATGGCTAATAATATTTATGTAATATAAAATTAATAATAAATAAAATCACAAATTTTATTTGTTAATCAGGCTATAGTACAGAACAATATTGCATTTGATATGCCTAAAAATAGATCTTTCGCTATGTTTCAGGCAATAAGTATATAAAAATATAAATAAACTAAAATAATAGTAATATATAATAAAATAATAAATAATAAAAATAAGATATTAAAAATAAGTATTATATTAAATATTTCTAGATTTTATTTAATCTATAAACATAAAGTTATCCATAATATTTAAGAATTTTGTAAATTACTCATATTTTTAGTATTTGCAGTATAATATATTAAAAGCTTATCATATTGTATGATTTATATAATTTTATATTTGTTGATCAATTATTTTATTGACAATATAATATGACTTATATTTTAAAATTATATAAAATTTTAAAATATTATATTTATTTAAATATCATATTAATAATTTTATTACTATAAATTTTTAATAATAATAAAACTTTAAATAAATAAAATTAATATATTATTTTTAATTATTTTGATTTATTTAAAGATTTATAAAATAAAATTTTAATAAATTAGATATTTATTAGAATTTTTGAATATCAATAATACTTATTTATTAAGTTAATTTAACGTTAATATTTGATTAACTATAACAAATTTAATTTTAAGTTTTAAATTTCCTAAAAATATTTTTTTTATAAAAATTTTATTTATTATTTATTTATTTTAAAAATTTAAGACTTCTTAATCATAAATGTTATTAACATTATATAATAATACTAACTTTAAATAATTAGTAATTTTTATAATTTTTATATTTAATAATTTTAAGTATAAAAAATTTTTTTTTTAATTAATATTAAAAATTTTATGTAATAACTTTAATAAGCTAAAATTAATTTAGATATTAAGAAATTATGTAATTTATTAATCGAATATTACATAAAAAAAAAAAAACTTGATAATTATTAAATTAATATGATAAAAATAATTAATTGACCGACGCCGATCTCGGCCAATGATCTTGGCCCCAAATCAGTCAACGGGACAATATTGCGTCAAAAAATAAAGAAAATAAAATTTTTCAAGTACAAATAAAATTGTACTGATTTATAATGATTTAAATATTTTATTAATATGAGCTTGCATATAATTTGATCGGACAATAATTATTTGTATACGAAAAAATAAATTGTACAAAAAGTGAAGGCTATTTATAAATCAACAATTTTAACAAGGAGAGCAAGAAACCTCGGCGCCAAGTTAAACAGTACTCATTTTCAACATCGATCTTACCATTTTAGAATTAAGAATAACCCTTTGTTATACAAGCCATTCTTTTTCTAAAATGATAATCGGGTCACTGCTGAAATGGAATAGATAGACATTTTCGATTTAGCATATATAATGTTCTCTCCACTTTTCACCTTTTTTTACAATTTGTTTTTATTTTTTTGTAAAAAATAATGCCGGTTATACTAGAATCTAGAGCTATTGAAGGTCAGGACGTGGTTGATAGGTTAGAGCCTACACCGGAACAAAGAATTACACTTATAATAATTGGAGCATATGCCTTAGCTATATTAGTTCTATGGCACTTACCAATATTAAAAGTTATTTTGTATCCATTCAAGGTGTGAATTATAACTAATTTGTAAATAATTAATTTAAAATTGTAAATTTATTATTATTTTTTTTTATTTTTTATTAGTTATTGACAGTAGGTTTACATGAATTTTCTCATGCTGCAGCAGGATGTTGTACAGGAGCAAAAATTGAAGCGATTGAAATTGATCCTGATGAAGGTGGCGTGACGAGAATGGTAAGCGATCTAGTTTTGTTAATATTTTTAGTTTAAATTCGACTTATTCGCTAATGTTTTATTGTTATATTAGAGGGGCGGAATACCATGTTGGACCTTACCAGCTGGTATGTTAAACGTGAAGAGATTTCCAAAAAAGATTGAACAAACAACCTGGGTTCTTTAAAAATTTTAGACTAAGATTTTTTAAATAATCATAAATACGTTACTTGTTATTTGTAGGGTACCTTGGATCATCTTTGATAGGAGCATTATTGATATTTTGTGGATTTAATGTTACTGCATCTAAAGTTGCATCAGTTATTCTTGGTGTATTATTACTCGTTCTTTTATTTTGGGCAAAGAATTGGTTAACAAGAGGACTTACTGTATTATTTACTGGTATTATTGTGGGATTATGGTTTATTAAAGAAGGTGCAGGGTTAAAATATTTCGTGTTATTTGTTGGGTAGGTTTGATTATAATTATACTTTTACGCGTTTTTTTTAGAAAATATATTAATGATTATTATTTTTTTTAGTGTAATGTCCTGTCTTTACTCTGTATGGGATATTATGGATGATTTAGGTAAGTTAAAGTTAAATTAAAATTTTCTAAGGATTGACGTGTTTAAAAAAAAGGATTCAATATTAACAATTAAAATGTTCATTTTTAGTATTCCGTAAAGTTAATGAATCAGATGCTAGTAAATTTGCTAAATTATGCAGATGTTGTCCTGCCCAAGTGTGGGGAGTTATATGGTTATTTATTAGTATCATATTTTTAGGAGTTGGAGTTTTGGCTGGATTGCTTGCTTTTAAACAAAATGACTCTAAATAGGAATCCATTTATTTATTTGGAATATGATTATCCCTATAAGGTAATGGTACGGGTATTGGTAAATTGGCATAATTTAATATACAATTATATAAATTATTATTAATCTTATAAATAAATATAATATAAATCAGAGATAGAGAATCAAAATAACAAGTTGTACTAGCCAAAAATCGTAAATGTCCGGAATATCTACTATGTTATCGTTCATTTTACACTACTTTACAAAAAAAATTGTAATTTATGTTTTCTTTTCTTTAATTTTAGCAGCTTCAACAATTGCTAACGTGCTCTTTAGCATTTCATTAATATTATTAAAGCAAGGAATTTTTGGCATAGATTCTACCATTTCACAAGAATCTTTCATATCTTCTATTGTAATTTCAACCTCTTTGGTTAAACCAATCAATCCTTTCTGATTATAAGAAATAAAAAAAAAAAAAATAGATCAATAATGATAATAGGTATTAAATTTAATTACTTTAAAAGAGAGTTACCTTTTCGTCCACAATTTGCGGTACTCTTTTACGAATATGTTCACTCATATGATATAATCCGAGAGAAGAATCATTATATAATTGACGAATATATGTTTCCAAGTCTACACAAGCTGTTTATATATAATTTAAATAAGTGCAAATTTCAGGTAATAACGTTATACGAACCAGTATATAAAAATACCTTTTTTGACTTTTTCCTTCAAATTCGCACCTTGAACAACTGGATCCGGGGAATAAATACTACTTCCGCTCGCCATACCAAGCCAATTTATACTAGAACTAGAAGATCTTTTAGGATTAATAAAAAATTGATCGATAGTAGTTATAGAACCAAAAGAAGAAGGTGCCCAATTGCTAACTACAGAAGTGGTGGAAGGTAATTGATCTTTAAGTATTGATGAAATTGATCCAATCGAAGTAGAATTATCATATTGTATAGGAATTGGGGCAGTATTTGGTTTAGAGGCTGAAAATTCTTGTTCATAAGTTTCATTTGAAGAAATATTATCATTGATTTCCGACATTTATTAAAAAAGATTATCAGGTAAACAAACATTCATGCATTTATTTGTACTGCCTACATTAAAACCTATCATTACTAACAAAACCCCACATTACGCAAAGTTTAAATTAGGCAATAACAAGTCCTGTA